AAAATCAGTCCCCTTTAAGGTGCCTTTAGCTGAGCACTCCAAATTCAGGCACCCAAGATCACGAGTCACTTTTTAATATTTAGGCTGTATTAACAAGCTATCTGAGAAGTTTTTCACACATTTTCATAACTGTAGATGTCATCTATTTTCCAAACTGAACCCTGCATATATCACAAAAATTTTATAGGCTCAAATCCTCTCCAACAAAGAGGCAAAGCAACAGGTTAAGTACTGAGAAGGCCATTCTCTCCAAGTGGTTGCTGTGTTCCCACTACCATAGAGGGGAGACTTCTGCCCGTGGATCCAAGCAGACATGGATTTACCAGCCATGCCATTGTCCCTCCCTGAAGACCCCACTTTTTACTAAAGAGGAGGGAGCCTCCTTCTTGTTCCACTGGTCAAAAAAGATCAGAACTAGCTAATTTTAGGATTCAAAATACTATGGTAACAGTTAGGGTATTGGAACGGAGGGCTAGGAATCACAACTCCTGAGCTCTGTTCCATGGTTCTGTAACTCATTCACTGTGTGGCCCTGGCACTCAACCTCTTGTGTCTGTTTCCATTTGTAAATAGGCACGATTACCTGTCTCACACACAGGGGCAGTGAGGCTTTTTTCATTAACATTTGTATTGGGCTTTGAGATTCTCTGGTGGAAGATGCAATTAAAAGTGCAAAACTGCTCTGGTTTTGTTTAGTGAAAATAGTTATGCAAGAAAAGAACAAGTTTATATTTTAAAACTTTATCCAGAGAACTGCTTGAACCTCACCTTGAAAATATCAGGCCTTTCCCAAGGAGGCCAGCCTTATGGCTTAAGAAACACATCTTAGCAAGAATCACTCTGACTGTATCAATGGCAAGCACTGGAGATTAAAAATAATAAGAGAAAGAAAAAGAATCAGGTTAAAACCTTATTTATGGGGACCCCGTCAGGTAGTTTCAGATCAATAGTTTGGTTTTATTATTATTTAACAAAAACTAATATCAATAGAAATATTTTTATGTGTTTAAATAGGAATACAAATAATTTGGATATAAACATTGCCCTGCAGTGTTTGCACCCCAGTGTTTGCAGCACTGGAATTATGCCCAAGAACCAGTGTAATACTACAAACAAATCTATAACAAAAAAGTAAAGCTAACCTATTTTCCAGTTAGTTAAGTGCAAAAAACTAAACAGTATAAAATGGTGACAAATAAGTTGGAATTTTAAACTTTTTTGTTTATGAAAAGTATTATTAGTAACACATAATTTTCCCTTTGATATATTTAGCCTGACAGTGTCCCTTTGAGCCAGTTCTGCCCTGATTTCTGTCTATGAAATCTCTTTGAATCCCATGAAGTCTCCTGGGATGTAAATCCATGCAGATTTTGGCCCTTTATCCTTTCTCAAGCTCTTACAAAAATGTTTTGTACAGATCACTTGTTACTCTCATTTTGAAACATCTTTGCCTCTTGAAGGATTTCTGTGGTGTCAGAGAAGCAGAGGAACACCAAGGAAGAAAAGGCCACTGCAGCCATTCCATATCCATTTATCTTCTTCTTGCTCAGATGAAGTGGATCCAGCTCGCCTCACATTCCCTAGGCATCTTGAGAAGGTGACTCCTGCAGGTGAAGCTGTAGTTCTTACCTTGGTTGTTATCCCAGTACTCCTGCCCATTGACACAATATCTCACTGCAAACTGGACTACAGAGCACAGCTGGAGGAGGAAAGGAGGCATGGGGAGAAAGAAAGTGAAGACATCAGCTTGACCCTTCCCAGCGTCCTGAGGATTGCTGCTGTGCCAATGAGCACACACTTCATGCATGCTCTTCCACTGGTTGAAGGTGTAGCGCACAGACACCTGCTTCTCGAAGGCCACATTGAGAACTTGGATAGTGCCACTGAGCCCCAGGTCTGAGCTGGTCACACATTCTAGACACACCAGCTGCTGATGAAGGCGGGTGGAGAAGTCCACACAGTCCACAGGCTGCTGGAAGTCAGGCACCAAGCACTGCATGGTGATCTCCATATCCAGCTGGCTGCAGCAAAGGTCCGAGTTGATGGAAAGCCTGGAGAGGACATGCAAGGGGATGGATGGGTCCTCCCCAACCTGAAAGACTTTCACTTCAGCCAGCTCCAAGCCCAATGCATCAGCAAATCTCACCCGGTTAATGCGGCTTCTCTTGCACACAGGAACACGGCATTGTGCTGCTGTATTCTTCAACCTCTCAGGGGAAGTGGGCAAAGACCTGGCTCGTCGGCGTATGATAGGCTGCAGGTGTGGGTCACAGCTGATAGTAGTGCTGCTCTGAAGATGACATGGTTGTGGCTCCCTCTTGGGTGGGGTGCTCAGACTGGAGCTGCCACGCAATGGCTGGTGCTCCGGCCGCCACCGTCCTGGACCCAATGCTTCTTCAGCCCTTAGCATGTTCTGATACAGACCGGAGAGGTAACTGGGGCTCCTCTGAGGGACACGTACCTCCATTGTTTCCTGAAGGCAAGGTGACAAAGTTGATGCCGCAGCTGCTGAAAACTGTCTCTTTTGTGACAGGGAGGGGCCTCCGAGATGACAGCAGTCACAGGGGCAGTGACTGAGTATTTGAGATTATTGCACTGGATGGTGTAACTAGCGTTGGCTGAAGTGGTATAGGCTGTTGCAATGGATGACAGGAATCTGGAAACTATTGCACTAGCCTGAAGAGAATTTGAAGCTAATGCACCAGATGGAAGGATATACGTCGTCTCACTGAGTAGAGAATTCAAGGCTAAAAGGCTATTACGCTGAATGGTGGAGCACGAGCACTCAAAGACGTTGCACAGGCTTAGGTGGGATCAAGGCTGTCACACTGGATGCTGGTGGACTTGAGGCTATCACGAAAGCTGGAGACAGTTGTGCTGGACGCTGGCGGATTCAAGGCTGTTGTACCCGTTGAAGGCGGACTGCAAGCTGCTGTGGTGGGCACTATGGGGTTCGAGGTTGTTGCACAGACTCAAGAGGGATTGAAGGCTGTTATGATGGATCCAAGACGCTTGCCCTGTCTGGAGCAGGATTCGAGGCGGTCCCACTTGATGCTGGATGATTCAAGACTCCTGCACAGGCTGGAGGAGTCTTGGAGGTCACTGGGCTGCAAGGAAGCAGAACAGAGGCTGTTGCACAGGCTGGAGGAGGTTGGAGGCTGTCAGGATGCCTGGTGGAGGAATCGATGCTGTGTCACTGGCGGGAGGAGGAGGAATCCAGGTCTGGGGCGGGGGGGGGGGGGGGGGGAGGGCTGCAGCCCACCTCTAACTCCACCCCTCCCACTACTCTCCTACGGCGCCTGTCTGCTCTGGGGTGGTAGCCAAGACTCAGCCCCACCGCAGGCCGAGTGCTGGAAGCCGCCCAGCAGCCAGGTCCCAGGGCACTCAGGGCTCCAGCCGCCCTGCGCATCAGCTGACAGATTGGTTTGCAACTGGGGCACGCAGGCCACACCCCCTCCGACGCTCTGGTGCAACGCCCCCATCTCCCCCAGTATGGTAGCACCTCCTGCCATGCGCCTTCCCTCAGTGACAAATCGTACAGCCCAGCCACCCGCCCCTCGGCGCATGCGCATTAGCAGAAATGAAGCTGCTGGCACTGAGGCGGTCCCGCTCGGTTTACCCTTAGGTGTTGGCGGGATCTGCTTGCAAGAGCAGAAAGAAGCTGTGTGGGGAGTGGGACGCGGGACAAGGGGGCGAGAAGGAGGCAAAAAGGTGGGAGAATTGTTGTAAGCAGTGCATTAATGTGTTTTTGTTTGCACTGTGGCCATACTGGTAGGGTTACCATATTTCCACAATCAAAAAAAGAGGACACTGGGGGGGGTGAGGGGGAGCCCTGCTCTAGCCCCGCCCCCATCCACTCCCTCCCACTTCCCACTCCCTGACTGCCCCCTCAGAACCCACAACCCCCCCCCGCTCCTTGTCCCCTGACTGGCCCCTCCTGGGACCCCTGCCACTAACTGCCCCCTAGGACGTCACCCCCTATCTAAGCCTCCCTGCTTCTTGTCCCCTGACTGCCCCCTCCTGAGAACCCCCACACCCTAATTGCCCCCCAGGACCCTACCTGTCTCTTGAGTGCCCCGACCCTTATCCACACCCCCACCCCATATTCACACCCCCGCCCCCAGACAGACCCCCGGGACTCCCGACCCATCCAACCCCCTCTGCTCCCTGCCTGCCTCGACCCCTCTCCACACTCCCACTCCATATCCACACCCCCTCCCCCAGACAGACCCCTGGGACTCCCACACCCTATCCAACCACTCCCCACCCCCTGACAGGACCCCCAGAACTCCCGACCCATCCAACCCCCTCTGCTCCCTGCCTGCCTCGATCGCTCTCCACACCCCGCCCCAACAGCCCCCCCCAGAACCCCTGACCCATCCAATCCCCCCTACTCTGTCCCTTGACTACCCCCTCCAGAAACCCCCTGCCCCTTCTCCAGCCCCCTGGCCTCCTTACCCTGCCGCTCAGAACAGCATGTCGGGCTCCGTGTGGAGCCCGACACGTGGCTGTGCTCCCCAGCGCAACACACAACCCGGTCCCTGCCCCCGCACAGTGCTGCAGGAGCAGGGCGCTAGGAAGCAGGGGAGGAGAAGAAGGCAGGGAGGAGGAGGAGGAGCAGCCGAGGCCCGATGCGAAGCGAAGGGCCCAGCCGGCCAGCTATCTGAGAATGCAGGGAGGGAGGGGAGGGGAGTAGCTCTAGGGCAGCTGATCTGAAGCTGCGGGGGAAGGGCTCTGGCTGCCGGCGCCCCATGCAAGCGGCTGAATTTCCTGCAGCCCTGCCATGCTCTGCAGGGGGGGGAATACCAGACATTTGTAGCTATTTACAAATGCCCCCCGACGCTATTTTTAACCCCAAAAGCCGGACATGTCCGGGAAAATCCAGACGAATGGTAACCCTAGGTACTGGGTTTATATTGGTGCCACAGGAGCCGGGGCCACATTCGGGAAGGGCCCCCGGCTTCCCCTCCCCGCTCCCACCTCTTCGTCCCCTCCCCCCCCCGGCTCCCCTTGGGCTCTCGTCCCAGGGGTCTGTCCCGTTCCCAGTGCGGCTCCGGGTCTGGGGGGGGTTTCTGCTGCCCGGCTCCTGGGGGCCCCCGTCCACTTCCCTGGTCTCGGCCCCTACCGCGGGAGGCTTGGCCGGGCTGATTG